TCTCTCTCTCTCTCTCTCTCTCTCTCTCTCTCTCTCTCTCTCTCTCTCCTACATCTTCTATATTTCTTGTCAGACAACAATAATGTGAGAAATATGAGCTGCTAAGATACAGGGAATTTCAAATACACTATCTAAGAATGATATTGCATTTATGGAGAACATAAGCTTCTTATTCATCTAATTCACAAACAAAGCAACTTAAAGTCATCTTTACAACATAAGCTTTCAGTTGGAATTAGTGGCTAAACAATGGGAAGCTTTCTCCTGTCTCAAACAGCAATGAGAGAAAACAAGTTTTCTGTTAATATTCTCACCTTCCCGATCGCTTGAAATATGGCTCTGTTTCTTTCTCTACAATTCCAAACAGCACTTAGCTATTGGCAATGACTTGCAGGAAGATGAAAATTTATCATGTGATTCAACAAATGTTTCATGCTAACTGGTCATTGGCTCCTATGTGAATGTGTTCGCCACTACAGTCTTTTACAAAGATCACTCTTTAACTTTAGAACAGGGTGGCTTCTTGCCTAACCTCATGGATTTGTGATTGTCCCTCTTGTTACTGTTGGCTGCTGATATTGCCCTGAGATTCTAAGCAGATTCGATCTCATTTGATTATCTTTAATCTAGGATTACATCTATTTATCCTTAAATTAAAAAAAAAATCTAACAAAAATATTTGGCTACAGATGACTATGCAAATAAGCCTAAAGACATGGGGTGATGTGACGGTTCCACCAGTGAGGACAGAAACCACAACAAGCTGCAGCTGCATGCTAAAGTCACCTGATCTATTATCCCTAAGAGGAAAGGCACATGTTGTGAGCCGACTGTGACAAGCATCCTCAGGAAATCACACATAAAGTCTCCTCTGAGCAGCTGAAGAAAGTCTATCTCTAATGTTGGAGACCTCAAGCACAAAAGAATCAATGGTACTGAAACACATGCTAAACTTTTTTGAATTTGTCCAATTGTAATTTTGTTTTTAGAATTTGGTGGATGCATTTAGAGAAAACATACTTGTTATCAAGATATCAAGGAATTGGGAGGACTTTTGGAGGTCAACCAGCCTGAGTATCCTAAACAAGGTGAAGATTTAAAAAAAATAAAATAAAATAAACCAACAATAACAACAACAAAAATCTGTTACCACACCATAAAAAATAGTGCCTGCTTCATCAAGTATGGCTTCCTGTCATTTATGTTACAACTCATCATGAGTTATAAGCCAATCAATTAACCTTTTAATGACTAATTGGACTTTTGCTACCTGGAATTAAAAATTCAAAGATGCCAGAATGATTCATCAACCAAAGCCTTTGCCATCTGCTGATACAAAACAGCATGACCAAAGAGTCTAATCTTGATGACAGCCATGTATTCAAGATATTGATAATAATAATTCTTACATCTAAATGTTTACCTCAACACCAAGAAAAACAAGTTATGTTTATAGAACAAATATCAGAAAAGACACTAATTTAAAATTGGACTTAATATATGAATTCTGCTGGGCATACCTTTGATTTCAGCATTTCGGAGGCAGAGACAGGTGGATCTCTGTGAGTTTGAAGACAACTAAGGCCTGGAGAGAGAGAGAGAGAGAGAGAGAGAGAGAGAGAGAGAGAGAGAGAGAAATGTAAAAACAAAATACCAATTTCTCTTCCCATAAAAGCCTTTGCTCTCTCAGAGCATGAACTGAATCATCTAAGAATCTAAGACTGGAAATAACATCCACTGCCTGACCCAGTCTGCCTGAGAGGTGGAGGCCACAGACAACCCAAACAGCAGAAAGATGGCAGAAGATAAGGGACCCTGGGTGCAGAGCACGTGGGTGCAGGACCCAAATCAGCCTGAACTTTACTACCTGGACCTGGAACAAGTACCTTTTCAATGTGAATCTTCTCATCTGTAAACAAATAAAAATCAGTCTTTATGAAATATATTTATTCTGCTCCAAAACTGTAAAACTGGGTTTCATTCGGTCATCAGTATTGACAAAGATTAGCCTCTGGCAGATCCAGCCTATTGACCTATTTTTTAAAATAAGGTTTTATCAGAAAGCTCACACCTAACCACATAGTATTATCTAAGACTTGTGTAGTTGTGAAGGAACCGCATGTCCTACAAAGCCAAATCTACCCCTCTGCCCTTCTCTAAAATGTTTGCTGAGCCCTGCTGTAAATGATGACCCTTTGTAATTCGGAAGCCTGTGAAGTATTTATATCCTTAACTATGCAGCTGATCCTTACAGCAATTAAATGGGTAGTGTACTGATAAGAAATATAGTTTCTTCCAGTGAAAATGTGTTTGGGGCTAAAAAGGGGGTGGTTAGGAGCTCTTGTTCTTACAGAGGACCTGAATTCAGTTCCTAGTATCCATGTAAAAGCTTATAACTGCCTGTAACTCCATGGAATCTAATGACTCTGACCTCCATGATCCACAACCCCTACACACACACACACACACACACACACACACACACACACACAAAGAGAGAGAGAGAGAGAGAGAGAGAGAGAGACAGAGAGAGACAGAGAGAGACAGAGAGAGACAGAGAGACAGAGAGACTTAAAGACAGGGAGGCAGAGAGAAAAATAAATAATTTAAAAATACATGTTGTGGTTTGATCTCAATTCCAGGTAAAACTCTAAATCCCTTTTCATTCTGCTGTAAAATAATAACCCTGACAATGATTTGTTGGACCACTAGTTATCAAATACCAATTGTATGTCCAACACTAGGTACATGAAGAATGAGGATAGCACTGTCTCTCTGTCATGACATCTGGTACAATAGATCTCTACAGTACAGACCAGATTATCTGCATTCAGGTATGAAAACATCAATTTAAGATCTTATATGAGCTGGGCATTGGTGGTGCAGGCCTTTAATCTTAGCACTCAGAAGGCAGAGGTGGGGGATCTGTGTGAATCCCAGACCAGTGTGATCCACACATCAAGTTCCGGGACAGCCAGGGTTACACGAAGAAACGCTGTCTCAAACAAACAAGCAAACATCAAAAGATCTTATATGTAATAAGTCTGTCCACATCCATTGTTTCATTCAGACTTCCAATATCTATCTCAACATGACTTGAGAAAAAAAGTTAGAACTCAGAGCACTTTAGCCATCCTGCTAGAAAGTAGCAGAATGGGTGGTAATTGAATACCTACCTGTTTTCCATAATTACCCCAGAGTAAAAATCTCCAGCATGTATGCCTTACACACCAGGACAACTAGCCCCAAGAACCATCACATCCTACAGGAGCTTGTCTACTTCTCAATACATACCTGCAACCTAGTGAGGGCCGTCTCCAACTGAAGTCCAAGCTCTGATGAAGTCAATTCACTACCTCAAGGTAGGAACAGCCAAGTTCTACAGCCTGCAGAGACTGGTAAGGAGAGGTGTTGAGCAAGCAATTCTGTGACTTTTAAATAATGATCATGAATCAGATTGCTTTTTCAAGCTGGCGCACTGCCTGCTTATTTCGAGAAAGCCATAGATTAGGGGCTAGAGCCTTTAATAATTTGGCTGCTAAAGGAACCAGAACCTGGAATCTCCACTCTTTGTTCTCTCTAAGCACTCTACATGCCCCTTTAAGCATAGTGCTACATCACAAGTTTATAATCTACACACGGAATACGTCAAATCCAAGTGGAGTATTCTCCACAACCTGTGCCATTGCAGCACCAGATGATCTTGGCACAGATAGGTCTATATAGTCCTAAGCCACATGAAAATCTATAGCTATATTTTCAGGGGTTCTCAATGGCGCCTCTCAATGCTTCTATTGCCAATCATGACCACAGATCCAGAGCTGTCTAGGATAATTCCCTAACTATATTCATAGATAATAATGTTTTTCCTTCTGGCATCTCAAACAGAACATATACAATTGGCAAAATCCCCTTTCCTTCCTTTCTAGCCCCAGCTCCCTCTCT